CCTCTTTTCCTCTCAAAATTTAATACACAGGGAAAGATGACAAGGACAGAAACTTCCTAGTCTTTTACCTTGTGTTTAGCCACATGGCATATTTTGCAAAAACTTCTCCTCCCCTCCCTGCTGTTACAGTGAGAGGGCAACACATTTCAGGATTTTCCTTCAACAGAAGAATAATACAGGCCAGCCAGAATTTCTTAGGCTATCTTTAGCAGAATATGTGCCAGTGGAAGCAAAGAGACTGAACAAGGGTTTACCTGCTGTTTCTTTTGAAAGTACACATGGGTAGGAGGGAGGCTGTGGAGTTAAGAACAGAACTTCAGCCTAAGTCTTCGAGGATTTTCTGGTTTAAACCAAGCTGTTCAATGATTTATCTGTGGCTGTGCTGCAGCACCACTTTAGGGTAGAAGAACCAGTGATGCTGCACCTGCAGGCAGTATAGTGAGGGCTTTGTAGGTGTTCATATGAGAGGGAAAACAGCTGCAGCTTTCTTGTCCTCTGGGCTTATCCTTGTACACGGAGCATCTTGCACTGGAGAGCCAAGCTCCTGCCATGAGGTGCTGGCATGCTATTGGCACAGGGCTAGCAGCTGGCCAATGTGCTTGTGTGCTTTAGTTGTGTCATCTCTAGCAGCCCTGGTAAGGCTTCACTAGGCACCTCAGTTCTTCCTTCTGGAAAGGAAGAAAGCAGAAACAAACCAAATCAAACCAAATCATTTAAAATGTCTGTGTCTGTCTGAATTCTTCATAATCCAGAGGGGCAGTGAGTTAAAACGAGTGGCAACTGAGTTTATTTGCCCATTTGGTGTGCTTCTGCTCTGTATCTCCTCTAGCAAATTGTAACAAAACACAAGCAAGAATTCAGCTTTTGTGAGAGAAGGAGGGCTCTGAACTTTTATTTTAATTTTTTTTTTTTTAACTAGGATATGCATGTGTTTTCTAAGGGAAAATCCAATTTTAAGAGACACCTGCATCCACTTTAACCTTCTGGTCTTTGTGATCCCTGCTTTTGCCACCAGTCAATTAGTGGACTCAGGAGGACATTCTGGGTCAAGCTATACCAAATACCACAAATCCTCATTAACGCTAATTAGTGCTCAGTAGATTAATTGGTGGTGAAGCTCATCTTTTTTTAATTACTTGAGCAAATGAGACAGCAGGACCTTGTGGTCAGCTTTGAATTATTCTGTTTGTTTTGATGCACCTCATTTGAATGTGTAAAGCCAGATGTTTGTTGCCTAGATTTAAGGGCTGTTTGCTTTTGTGAGGGATGAGAAGAAGAGAATGCAAAAGTAAAATGAAGGTCTCCATTGACACCTTTGAGCAATTCAGATAGGAAGATGGAAGAGTCATTTTATTCATGGAATTGAAAGCATTGTTATGAAATAACATGTTGCCTTTAGTTTACCTTTTGATTTGTCATTCACTTAATTAATTTGTGTGATGTTGCTAGCACAGGCTTCCAGGCAGGCAGAAGTCATCTTGACTCTTTTATGAAGCCATCACAAAGATATTCCTGGCCTAAGGTATTCTGCATTATTGATAGCAACTAAATCTGATTTTAGCTGACTTGACTAATGATTTTTTTAAGTGCTTTTTTTCCGTAGAAACCTTCAGAATTGGAACCTTTTAATAGTTTTTGTTCTAGTCAAGTATTTGTTTAGTTCAAAGCATTTTGTCTATGTCCTTTGTCCTTCATATAATGAGAGGTAGATGGTGGCTCTCCTTTACCCCCTCGGAGGTCACTGACTAACCAGCTGAAGCATATTTCACTGTCACTTCCACAAGAATGTCTGGATTTGTGACTTCTTCCATTCTGACAAGATTTTTGAGCTCCTGAATATGAACACAACTGTCCAGTATTCCGAGTGTGATCTCATGATCTCATCCTTTTGCCTCAATGCATCTGAAGATACCATCCTTAGACCCCATGGGAGTGTTTAGGCCCTGACTCGGAATAATGGAAAGCAGAATTAAATCTGAAAATCACGGCTAATGCTTGGGATTGATTTACAAACTGTATTTCTGTGAGCAAGGCCTAATCTGTTGCCTGTGAGTCCCATGTTGTAGTTACTTTTGCATCAAAGTGTGAGATGGTTTGAGAAGTCTTTACTTTGTTATCTGTTAGCAGCAGGCAGAAACCTTTTCTGAAACCAGGGACTTGGTATGAGTGCAAACACTTATTAGTCAAGAAAGGCACTTCACTTTCCTTTCCTTTCAAGGTTTGTACTGGGAGATCTAATATCTGCTAGTAAATCAAATACTCATCCAATTCAGAAAAACTATGTTGCATTATCTTTTGTGTATTAAAGGCTTATTTTATAGTACTTGACTGGTCTTGACTTGCACTCTCTTTAGTCACCCTCATACTTAAACCACAAATGTTCTAATTCTACTGTGAATTTTTCTTTCTCTGCATAGATACATTCCATTATAATTTCCCAAATGGGAAGATGAGATGTGACTTCAGTTTTGGACTTGTTAATTGTAATTAGAAGCATCAAAGTTAGAATAGCTTTGGCATTCTTAGAGCTTCAATGTGTCACTCCTGTTCAGAGGTCCCTTGAGAGCACACTTTCCTCCACGCACTGAATGCAGAAGCCTGATGAGCTAAGCATTATTGGTCTGCACTTCACCTGTTGCTGCATGGTAGAAAAGCAGATGCATTTTTCTGCTGTGGTTAATTCTGTTCTCAGTGTAAGAATTTTGTGGCCAATATTGCTTATTTGTCCCTTACAAATACTTTTGATTGGTTTAAGATTCCTTTTTTTAAATCACCTTCTTACTAAGGTAGGAAAGACTCTTCCTACATGTTCTTTACCTGCAGAACACGAGCAAGTATTGCACTTCTGTCCTTCACAGGACAACAGTGTGTTCAGACAGTGTTTCACTAAACTAACAAATTACCAGCAGTCTTCTGCAGTCAGCAGGAGGTTGTGCAGTACAGCATCCCTGGTTTGCACATGCACTGGTAGTGGCTGGCTCTGCAGGCTGTCAACTTCTAAGCAAGGAAGGTTAAGGCTTAGAGAAGTCTTCATGTCTTGCTTTGTGCCTTCCATTTGCATCATCCTTGCCCAGTAATTCGTTGTACATGTTTTCCATCATGCTGCCTGCCTGGAGCAGGTAGAAACTTCTTTCTGTATCTACTTGATTTTCTTACAGCCAGCAACTGGTCTCAGGTTTTTTAAGCAGTTGGGTCCTCCAAGGTTTTTAGCAGCTTTCATGCTGTGGCCCTGGTTTTAATGGAAACCTGTAATCCTTTTTTTTTGAACACATGCAGGTCTCATGAGCCAAGAGTTGTTAGAGTTTGTTTGACAAACTCAGTTGGAATCAATACTTTTGCTTCAAAATTTACTATCAACTTCTGTTTTATGTTGAGGGAATACTAGTGACTGCAGGCAGGGAAAGCAACCTGCCATACCCATTGCAGGTGTGATTCTGTGCTGCCAGGGGAAGGAGGGGAGGAGACCAAGTGCCTGAAAATGCTGAGAGTTTCTGAAGATTTTTGAGGAGGAGTCCATAGGTTTTACAAGCTTCTGCTTCAAATGTGTGAGCTTGGAGATCATAGGAAAAAGAGAAGGATTCCACCCTTTCTTTTGTGGACACCTCATTATGCACTGAACAGAGGACTGAGCCTGGCTATTACCCTAATGGACTATTAAGTGGAATATAAGCCTGCATGGCTGGATTACATATTACAGGCATCCCAGAGATTCTTCAGTTACTTTCCTGATTGAAGTTAGCAAACGGCTTCAGTGAAAGGGAGTTGTTTGCTCAAAACTGTTGTTAGCATGTCGACAGCAGCAGCTGTGCCTGCTGGGGTTTCCATTTCATACACTAAATGCGTGTGAATTTGTAACCTAACCCAAGAAAGATACCAGCATTGGCATTCAGGTGTGTATCCGTGTTTGCAGCATAATCAGTAGAATTGCTCCTTGTGAATAAAGATGTGAAAGAAAAAGCAGACTGTGAAAATGGAGACAGGGTGTAAATGGGGGATCAAGGCACTGTACCAGCAAACAGATCCCTTCTATGCACTAGCTCCATCTCAGTGTTAGGAATAAGGGTGAGATAGAAAACAGACCAATTGTGGAGAACTTTGAACTAAAGCAGACTCTAATATCTTTCTGAAAATAATCTGATATTTAAGTTACCTGAGGCTCCAGTGCAATGAGATTTGAAGGCCTACATTATTTTGAAACCCCGTTGAACTTAGTGGGACACATAATTAAGTGCTTTGAAAGGTCAGGATCTTAGTCATAATTTTTTAACTCTGGGCATAAAGTTCTTGATGAAACGAGTGTTGTGTTTTTTATAAAAATCAAAGTGGAGGGTGCCTCTAATAATTCTTGTAGGTATGTTAAACCTATTGTAAGTGTACTGTTTTTCACTTTAAATTTGTATTTTCACTTTTTGTAAATTCAGCAGTAATTTTTTCAGGCCTCTGACAAGAACTGTGTAAACCAAAGAGGTTTTTAATAAAAGAAACGGGGTAGAAAATTTTCTTTCCATGTGGGAGGTTAAAATGAGAGTGTTCTTTAGAAGGCAGAATTAACTATGGGTCCTACCTTTGGTTGCTTCAGGCCATTTTGCAGGTGTGATAGAAGCCTTATGCTAAGCTACAATGCTTTGCTCCTTCTCTCTAAGGCAGTTTGTGGATGCTGTGACTCATGTGCATAATACTAAAGAGAAATCTTAATGTTCCATATCACTCGATGTCAGACTTCTGATATGGTTTGTAATAATTTAGAGGCAATAGGCATTCAAAAATCACTATAATGGTGCTATTAAGGATGGATTGACCAAAAGTAGACTTATACAAAGCGTCCTTAGAAAGGAGGAGTTCTCTTCATAATGTGCAGTTTAAAGAAAGAGAAAATTCTTTTTCATGCTACAGCCAACTTGAGTACTGACAAAGTCAAAGCTGCCAAGTACTTTAAATATAGTTGACTGAAATTACCTGGTTACTCACTGGTGTGTTTTCTCTCTTTGTGTCTCCCTTAGCGTGAACGAACGTGACCATTTGTTAAAAAGGCTCGGCAGGAAAACTCCTCCGAGCCTTTTCCGTGCTCATTCTGTCCAGCAAAGCGTATCACGTAAGTAGCAGCTCACTGTGTCTCACAGCATCAGCCCCACATGGGGGAAGTGAAGGGTGATTATTTTCTAATTAAATTGCAGGTACAGATAACCTAGCGCTGAGGCTGAGCTGCCAAGCAAGACGTGTACATTTGGAAGTGGAATTAGTGTATCTGGCCCTAGGCAAGGGAAGCTCAAATGTGGTTAATTCCCTAGGATCCAATCAACAGGCCCAAATGATAAAATCCCAGTGTGCAGGTTCTCTAAAGGTAGAATTCTGATAGTCTTAAAAATAGTCTAAAAATCAAAAACTCTGTGTAAAATAAATATTGTGACAGAGCCTAGCTTTAATAGAAATTATTTGTGTATGAAATGTCATATTAGCTGTGGTTATTTAAGAATACAGTGATGTTTCAGGGATGCCATTAGGGTTCTGTGTGTTGCTGGTGAGGAAAGCCATGGCCTGCAGAGCTGCTTCTCTCCTCTCCCTCTTTGTCTGCTGCTGGGAGAAGAGAAGCAGCGTCACAACTGGCTGCTGCTGCTGCTTCAAATAATGGCATTTCTTGTTGATGTAGAAGTCATCCATTTAATTTGTCTTCCTGTGGCTGCTGGACAGGTGGTCCGCTGGGTTTTCTCTCAGTGTTTTACAGGCTTCTACAATATTTAAAATTATCTCTAGCAGCTCTGTAGGCCAGATGCACTGAAGGACTATGCTGTCTTGAGGTACCAGGGAGTCCAGTCAGCCCTTTCTAGTGAGAAAATGCAGTCTCTCTTGTGATGAAACTGGTGGTAACAATAGGTTTATTTACTAACGAAAATAACTCCCTCAGTATGAAGTACTGCTGCACACAGGGCAAGGGGCAGAGACTCAGGATTGGGGTTGGTATTGCCATTGCAATAGGAAATGACACCCCTGACTGCTTAAGAATCACAGAGGAGTCAAATCTCATTGCTGGCTGTGTCTCATTCTGTATCAGAACTGTTATGGCTCAGGTCATGGAGGCAGGGCTGAGATAATACCTGAGGTATTCTTGTTTTCAATGGGAAATTTGACTAGAAGGGGTGGGACAGTGATGGATCTGGTAGTCTTTGTCCTTGATAGAACCATTGGAAGGCTGCCATCACTGGCAAGGGATGTAGGGTCTTTGGTGATCGATCCCATTACATCTGGGAAGAGAGGCCAGTGAGCAGAGCAACCCTGTGGACCATGTTTCTGCAAGGGTTTAATCCTTTGTGTAAAGGAACCAGGGATGCTGATAGCAACATGGCTTTGGATATGCAGACATGCTCTTTGAGGAGATTCCAAAAGAAATGATTGGCAGAAGAAATCCATGAAATGCACAAATAAATGGCTGTCAAAGTAGTCCACTGTGGAGACTTGCCACAGTCTGTGAAACCTGTGAAGCAGTGCAGAAAGGAGATACACCAGAGGTAACTTGTCAGACTTAATATGTGCTTTTAGTCTCAAAAACATATCATCAGGTTGTTAGTAGGTGAACAGCTATTGGGAAAGAAAAATGAGATCAAAATAAACCCTAATTTGGATAACCAGCTTCACTATAAATGCAAATGATTAAGTGCTAAATGAGTCAGACCAGTCAGGACAGGTTACAATCAGCAATCTGTTTTTCACATGAACATAAATTTTGACTGTAAAGCTGTTAGGATTGAAAGATGATTTTTGTGATGTATCCATGACTTCTGTCATTTCTTGTCAAATATTATTTTCCAGTGTTGCATAGCTGCTATATGTACAAGGCCATGTGAAATCCAGGGAACATATGTGCTGTTTTCACAACCCTAAATTGTACAACTGTTTACTAAATGCTAGAAATCTTCAAAGCAAAGAGTTGATGAATAGGGCAGTAGCCTTGACATGCCGAGCTGGTATCTTAAATCACACTACAAGTACTCTGTTTGAAGTCTTGAACTGTTCATATGTTTCCACCAGGCCCTAAGTTCCCAGGCTGTGAAGACCAAAAATTGCTTTTGTGACTTCAACTCAGAATCTGTTGCTTACATATAAAGCAGGAAAATGCTTTGTTTAGTTAGAGCTGACAAAAGCTTAAGGAAATGAATTGCCTTGGTCCCAACAAGGAATGAAAATGGGATTAAATTTCCTAGAACAGATTGTAAAGATGCTGTACTCGGTTGGAAATTACTTTATTTTTGACAGCAACCATTTCCAAATGTTTTGGGAGGAAGCAATGCCTAAACAGCTCTGTTTCCAGTCAGATGGAAAGGAGAAAAATCTCACAGGGAGTTTCTGGGCTACTACTGGTGGTCAGTGGTGGGAGGAAAGAGCTGGCTGAGGTACGGCTACACAGCCCTGTGCAAGAGGCAGAAGCTCACTCTGTGTGTTTCCTTATCTCTCTGTCGGTGAGCCAGCCCTTCTCCAAAAGCATTAGTGCAGCACAAGACCTGAAGGCATGATGTGTGCCTGGGGTGCTCCCATATAGCACCAGCCTCTTGTGGATCCAGCCCCCAAAGTGGGCAACAGAGCCACACAGCCGGTGCCATGGCAGTGCCATATGGGAGTGCCAGCCAGGATTAGTCTCTCAAACACCTCCTCTCATTAAAGAAACTGGCTCAGAGTGGCTGCCTTGGAGAGTAGCCTCTGTCCATTTGGAGGGGATGTACTTAAAGTAAAACCCTCATGGATGTTTTTCTTGCTCTTTGGTTTTGTGTTCCTGAATTGTGTAGAGCTATCAGAAGCAGAAAGAAATCTATCTACTGGCTGTACTGTCAAAGATCATGTGGTGCCTTTCTACCAGTATAACTTCTGGGAAGTTTATGAAACCTTAAAAAAAAGAAAGGAAGTGTGAAGGTCCTGTTTGGATGGCATTGTCAGGAGACTTTAGTGGAAGAGTTGCAGAGGGTTGTCAAGCCCAGGTGCTAACATGAAACCATCTCAGTGCAGTCTCGTAGGCAGTGCTGACAACACTGCTCCCCAGGCTGTGTTCACATCCTGGTGAAGGTGCCTGGTGAAATTGGTCATTCCCCATTGCCATCTGCTTTCTGAAATCTCTTAAGAATGATCAGACTCTTCTCAGATGTGTCTCTGGACTCTTCCCTTTAGCTTGCTGTGTGGCTCACCTTTGAGGGAAGAAGCAATAACAATTTCCAAAATCTCTCCCTCAGAGTGTTTCCTGGCAGTGAGGTTTTCTCCAGGTTTCCATCGAGGTTCTTGTCTTTTTTATTACTATGACTTTGTGAGAATAGCACCTCCTTTAGACAAACTCTATAGATGTAAAAGATGGCTCTTGACCTCCCCTTTCCCCCTGCATGACTGACTTGTGTCACCTGTGTCCCCAGAGGATGGGAAGGGTACCCTCCCTCCATAAGGAAAGCATCCCTCTGGAGTGGTTTCCCTCATGTAATGCCCCTGCTGGTGCTCAGTTATCATTTGTCTCAACATGCTCTTTAAAAATAGAACTGAGTCCTGCTCCTGTTAAGCACAGCTTTGGCAGAACTCCCCCTAAAATGCCAATAGCTGTGCCTGAGAGAGGATTACTGCACTTGGCCCAGGCTTCCTATGCTAGCAAAGAAAATCCCTCTTCCTTTGACAGAATATGGTGATTTCATAGAGTAAATCTGAATGCAGAGCATATGGTTTGCACCTTATTAATCAGTGGAGAAAAAGCACCTGTCATCTGAGGTTCGTTTCACAGTATGGGGGCTGACAAATAATAAATAATAATAATGTGTTCATGCTGAGGGCTCTAATCCCACCATTTATTCTTCACTAGCAGACACCTTCTTCCTTTCACTTTTCTGCTAGTGCATTTTTATTTGAAAAACAACAGGGAAGCTACTTGAGATGCTTTTAAAGTTCTTTTTCCTCTTATCTTGCATGTGTTTGAAATATAATATACATTCTGTATTTTTTCCAAGCTGCATATTTGTTGACTGCTAAGTGGAGTTGCAATCTTTTAATATCAGTGTAGAAAAAAGAAATAGGTTTAATCGGTTTAGAATTTGATGCTGTGGCATCTGACTCTATTTTCTAGTTGCAAATACCAGTAAGTTGGTATCTGAGACAAAAGAGTTGGGACCATTTGTCAGGAATTCCTCTTGGGTCCTTAAGAAAACACAGGCATGTTTTATCAGAAGAGAAATTAATTACTTCTGTAAACATGAGTCAAACTGTTCAATATCTTAGGCAGCTTTCTCTTTCCCAGGTTAAATAGGAGATGGTTGCTGGAGTAGTCAAAGCTGACTTTTTAACTGGTAAATGTGAACTGTGACATCACAGCAAATCTCCTTAAAAGCTCTGCAGAGCCAAATGTTTTGCCTGAGACTGAATTTGGCTGGTCAAGTGATACCACAATGTTGATTTTCATTATGTCAGAGAGAGTTTTGCTATCTAAGAAGCAATATTTCCTAAAAGAGATTTTTAAAAAAACCCCAATCCTCATGTCTCCTCAATGGCCTGAAAGTTTTAGTGGATTTGAATTTGGTCGTTTTTATCCAAAGGCAAACAAAATTATGCATTTTATAATTTGGACTATATTAAACCACAATACCACTGCAGAATGAACTTGTGAAATGCTGCAGCAGGTGAGGGTTCTGATGGGCTGCCAGTAACAATTGCCCTCTTGCTGGCTGGCCTAAACAAATCCTGGGACAGAGAATTTGGGTGTATCAGAGGAGAGTGAAAGGGAATAGAAGGCCTCTAAAATAAATTCCTGAAGTGACTAAAACTGTAAGCAGTCCTTCCATGAGGAGATCTCTGGAATAAAAAGAGCCATCTGGAGCCTTTCTTGTCCTGGTCTTGGAAGCTGTTGCCCATGTGGGTGCTCTTGAGCTTGCACAAGGTTGCTGTCTGTGTTCAAGGCACACCCATCGAGATGGTTGCTGTAGTCCAGCATTGCACAGACCAGAAGAGCCATTGCAGTGAACAGAAAAAGAGTGAGTTAAATTAGAGACCTAATGGGAGACTAGATTCGGATCTACTCATGGAATATCAAAGCTTTACAAAAATCCAAAACCCAACAGGATGCTTTTAAAATTCACTAGATTGCCTGA